TAAGTTTTACAGCGCTTTATTATGCTTGTACTTTTTACACCCAAAAATTTCATTACCCATCTGGCTACGATTAAGTTGTTTAAACAAATGTGTTGCAATGATAGGGAAAAAATGGTGTGTCTGAAAACTGTAAGTACTGGGGGTACTTATAATTTTTTTTAAAGAGTTACTTTATAAAAAAAAAAGGTTGAGAAAAACTGGCGTTGACCATGTTAGAGACAGAAGAGAATGGAATCAATTTTTATGATTTATATTTAGAGAATGGGAAAGGCTTTTTTTAAAAGTTCAGTTATTAAATTGTTTTCAATGGGTTTGTGTAATTAAATTGTTTAGTTTAACACTGTCAAGTGCTTGAATGGAGACAGGCAATTAAGTGGAGGTACAATTCAAATTTTCTAAAACTCCTTTGAGTCACAAGAGTCCATTCACAAAATAAAAGATTTCTTATTACATAATGTTTGCAATCAAATGTTGGTAGAGGCTCAGCAAGGATAATGCTTTGTGTAATCATTTCTCTTTTCTTCCTTGGCTAAGTCAACACAAGGGGCAAGTTGAGTTTTGCGAATTCTTCTAAATCATGAGGCGGTATTTACATTTCTGAAGCGGGAAACATGCATTAATATCCATCACTGCCCAAAGCCAGGTTATACATATGTACTACAGAGTAAATTATAAAGTACTCACAATCTCATGTAGATCAATAATTAATAATTTTACAAGGTGAAAGATTTAAAGTTGCTAAATATTTTAGTACATTTTTAAATCTATGCAATATAAAATGACAATTCGGTTTTTAATGAGAAAGGTCAAAGCAGGTGTCCATTATTTTCATTTGTATCATTTCCCCTTTTCAAGTACTTTAAAGTAAACAGCAAAGCAAAAAACGTTGTCTTTCCTTAAGTGTTGTTAGCAAATGATTATAAATTTAAACACACAGAGAATAGGTAGGTAAAGCTGCCGGGCTGAGGTGGACACCCTAGCCTTGGGCTATCCAGCCCCAGTTGTCTGCTTAAGAAATGTGGCTCCACCTCAGTGCAGTGCTGAGTGGACTCATACGTAGTTGTGTCCCAAGAGAGCACAACTACACTTGAGTGAAGATAAGTCACCCTGTGGCTCATCAACTTGTTGATGCATTACCCCAACTAAGTATTGACTGATTAAGCTGGATGGGACTGACATCAAGCACACTAGAGGCACACCCTTCACTTTTAAATCTGACTCTTACCCTGTGTGTCCAGGAGGCACAAACTGCTTGGTGATGAATTGCAAGCTTTATTCCTGTTTAGTAAAGCACAAATTTAATTTATTCCAACATCTAAGGAAGCATTGTTATATTTGTAGACTTGAGTATGCACACACTGTTTTTACCACTAGTTTTAAAAGAAAGCTGTGCCTATAATTAAGTGTATGCAATCTTTTAAATGAAGTTAAATACAGCCTTTTGAATTACTTTAAATATTATGACTGCATATAGTAAGGTCTCTTTTAGCGAGCAAACTTGAAACAAACGAGAAATCCTACAGTAACAAGAATAAAGTATGTCCACTAATAAAGGGATAAATAGTTTACAATTAAGGCAGCATATAAAAGGACAAGCTCTTTCAAACAAGCCACAAGGAAATTTACATTATTCTTTAACAAGAATTTTAACTGCTGCTAAAAATAGCAATTAGAGCTGCATATCTCATAACCACACCTGAAATTTCTTCCCCAAAAAAATCTCTTGGGGGAGTCAACATAGATAACAAATCTTAAAACCTAAATAAAAATTATAGAAATAAAAACACATGCATATCTGTGTCAATTTAGATACAAGATCATTAGAACTGGGTCTCTCTCTTCATGCTAGTCTGAAGTGCCCAGTACAATTTCTATTTAGGTGTTAGATATGCCTAAGGCACCCAAGCACTGTACAAGAGCTATGAATCACTGAGTATGAATGAACACAGAAGTCACATCTCAGTTTCCTCCCTCCCCCTCACAACACACATGATTTTGTTGTTGTTGGCACCATATAATTTCCCTGGTATTAGAGAATGTCACAATCACGAGCCCACTACTTTGCCTCCCTGTTTAAGACCATCCTAAATTTCAAATTTTTGTTTCTATGTAACAGGATACCACTTTCACTGCCTTTCTACTAAGTTCTCTCGGGATATGTCTACACTGCACGCTTATTTCTAAATAAGCAATTTTGGAAGAAATATTCCGAAATAGCTTATTTCAAAATAACGTCTATACCCCAAAAGCTCATCGAAATCGTGCTCAGCTATTTTGAAATAGAGTCCGCACTGATTGGATTCTGAATTGTATGTAAGGCCACTTGGAACCACTGCAGGCTGGGCATCAGGATGCAGTTACTTCCAGGAGCTGCTGCCTGAGGCTATTTGAGACTTGTGCTTAAAGGCTCTCCCCGTACAACCATTTCTCAGATTCTTCACCTTGCCAACTTCACTGAGGGACAGCAAAGCCTTTGCTCTGACTGCTGTGGCTGCCCTTGCAGACACCTCAGCTATCCAGCCATGGAGTCAGAGCTGCCTCTGGGCAGTCAACAGCACACCTCTATCACGCTGCAGTTTCTGCAGGCTGCCCTCCTGGCCCTGCAGGAACGCAACCCCCCCAGCTGATCAAGGAGACCCTACCACCTTTCTGGGGCTATGTCTAGACTACATGTCTCCGTCGATGGAGCCATGTAAAATAGTTTATTGGGCATAGTCAAAGAAGCAGAGATTTAAATAATCCCCGCTTCATTAATATAAAAATGGCCGCCACGCTGTGCCGACAATCAGCTGATCTGGCACAGCGTGGCAGCCTAGACAAAGAGAAGCCTTTGTCGACCGCTCCGATATGCCTCGTGAAACGGGGTTTACCGGAGTGGTCGACAAAGTCTTCTCTTGTTGACCGTGCCATGTCTAGACTGCCGCACTGTGCTGGATCAGCTGATCATCAGCACAGCGCAGTGGCCATTTTTATTTTAATGAAGCGGAGTTATTTAAATCACCGCTTCTTTGACTATGCCGAATAAACTATTTTACGTGGCTCAGTCAACGGAGACATGTAGTCTAGACATAGCCTGGGAGTGCAGTTCTTCCAGCTGCACTGCACTGTGGCTTTTGGAGGCTGGACACCAGTTCCGACTAGTGGGACTAGCTCGTCATGGAATGGTGGGATGACAAGCAGTGGCTCCAGAATTTCTGCATGCGGAAGGAGACCTTTCTGGAGCTGTGTGAGTGGCACGCCCTGCCCTCATGTGACAGGACACACACATTCAACCCGCCATCACTATGGAGAAACAGGTCACCATTGCTGTGTGGAAGTTCGCCACGTTGGACAGCTACTGATCTGTCGGCAACCAGTTCAGCGTGGGGAAGTCGACTGTCAGGGCCCTCGTCATGCAAGTATGGCACTCTCCTAGGCTATAGTCCCAGGAAGGTGGTGAACTGATGGTGCTGGAATAGGGCACTCTAGGGAAAGGGGGAGGGGAGCTGCAGGTGGGAAGCCCTCTTCCCTGGGCAGTTTTTTAGTCCTGCCCTCACACAGTCCTGCCAGGGAATGGGGCTACATAGGGGCTGTAGGGGGAAGGGGCTCAGGACCTCCCAAGGGTTCTGGCACCTCTGTGATTGTTTGTCTCCTTCTACAGGTGGTGTGGGCCATCAACACCATCCTGCTGCGTAGGGTCATCAATCTCAGCAATGCGGACCCCATCATCACCAGCTTTGCCAACATGGGCTTCCCCAACTGCAGGGGAACTACTGACAGCACCCAAATCCCCATCCGGGCCTCTGGCCAGTGGTCATCTGTCTATATCAACTTCATGGGGTACTTCTCAATTGTCCTGCAGTCCCTCGTCAACCACCGCAAGCAGTTCTCCAACATCTTCGTCGGCTGCTCAGAGAAGGCACACAACACCCGCATGTTTCGAAACTCCAGCACCTGCCAGAAGCTGGAAGACTGCACTTCTTTCACTGACCGCACCATCAGGGTCAGGGATGTGGACGTGCCACTGCATCATGGGGGACATGGCCTACCTTCTCTTGCCCTGGTTCATGAAGTTCTGTACCAACCACCTTAACTACTCACAGGAACGCTTCAATGCCAGTGCCCACGTAGTAGTGGAGGGCACCTTTGGGCATCTCAAGGCGAGGCTCAGCTGCTTTCCAATCTGGCTGGACCGTGGGAAGCAGAACATCCCTTAAGTGATGGCCACATGTTGTGTGCTCCACAGTATTAGTTAGAGGAAGGCAGATCCAGTCTCAGTCTTTAGACCGCAACTTGATAATTTTATTTAAATCCAACGGATTATAAAAACCCTTTCAGAAGGGACCTGACCACCATATCCAAAGAGGACCCACTGCACTGGCCACTTTCTGGGATTGTCTGCAACCTGGACTCCTGGCTCATGGGAAAGTTCTTTAAGATTATGTCTATACATATACTTGTACTGTGCTCTCTTGAGACACAAATATCTGTGGCTGGCTCAGACTGCAGGGCTGTTTCTGTGTATAGACTTCTGGGCTCACAATGGCTCCCCGTCACCAGAATCCTGTGGGGTGGGAGGATCCCAGAGTTCAGGGCTCTAGCCTAAGGCCTAAAGTCTACACAGCAATGAAAACAGCACTGCAGCCCAAACCAGTTGACATAGCCCAGGCTGCATGTTTTTCCTTGCTATGTGGACAAACCCGGAGAGCCCACTCCCAGATGGGACGTGCTTTTTCACGTTAATCCTTCTAGATGACAGCTGACTTTAGTATAATTTAATTTGGGAACATTTGTGGTCCCTACTAGGAGTTGGACCCCTACATGCACCCCTCCATCGGACAAAGTGGGTTTTTGCCCATGAAAGCTTATGCCCAGAAAAGTATGCTAGTCTTTAAGGTGCCTTTAGAATCCTCGTTTTTGCCGATACAGACTAACATGGCACCCTTCTGATACTATTAAACAATTAATATAATCTAGATGCCTATTTGCTGCCCTTTGTACTCAAGACACATGCAAGTATGTATGTATACCCCAAAATACGACTTTAATACATTTCCTATTTAATGCAACAAGTGAATGTATACTTTGGGAAGCTGTTGCTTCAGTAACTTCTTCCCTCATGTAGTTTCCCATTGTTCTTCGTAACGCAGATATGGTGAAACCATTGATCTGGCAATCAGACCAGCAGTGTCAGATGCATCCATACAACATCATGCTGGGATCAGTGGAGCTTTGTGCAGGTGTAAGGGTCTGTTGCTTGTTTCCAGTAGAAGGACTAGGGCCATAGTTCTTAACTTTTTCAGTTACCATTCAATAGTTCCATGATCTTTAGAACTTTCCATTTTCTTCAACATGAATGTTTTGTTTTGCATTACCTTCTCCTGAGTTTTGTTTTAAACAATTTGTGTTCTATTAAACACACCTCTTCATGGATGAGAGAGGCTGGTACCCTTAGAAGGAAGGAGAACAGGTTTAACACAAACTGGTAGCTCTGAGGAAAGTCTGATTCTTTATAGTGTGTCAGATGGCCACATATCCTACAAAAACAAAACAGAAAAACCACAAGGTAAGTATACCCTAAATCACACATTAGTCTAGTTGACATTCAAACATACTTGAGTTTTCCTCTAATTAGACTGGTTTTATTATATCGTAAGTACCGTTATTGATCTATGGCTCCAATCTATGGACCCACTCAGAGTCATGGAGTATTTTTTGTAAGACTGGGGCCACAAACCAGTTAGGTTAGGTTGCAGTTCTAGCAACAGGGAAGAATGGTGAACTGTCTGTGTTTCCCAAAAGCAGGTACATGTTGGTCTTAACTAAAACTGTGTTTTCCATGATCCTGCCACTACAGATTGAAAAAGTTTGGCCGTCAAATCTAAGATATCACTTAAAAATTATTTCTCTCCTCTTCCCCTTTCTCCATTTATGAGGAGCAAAACCTTTTAAATGTAAACAGAATATATTAGGTGCAGTCATGATGTGTTCCAATTTGCAGACTGCCTGGAACAATAGCTGCTCCAAAGGGTGTGACTCGCTTGTATTCGTCGTAACTGATGTAATTCTGAAACTACTGATGACAATTTAAATTGTTAGCATTAACTATTTTTCTACTATTCATTTTTAGCAGAAATGAACATTCAGCTAGTACACTTAATATGTTGGCCATAATTGGGGTACTGCAGCAAGCTTTCTCCTGTCAAATGTTGCTGGAGTGGAGAACTAAGTTTTTGTTTTGAGGCTGAAAAAAGTCAAGCACCTCTGCTCTCCACACTGATTGGACCTTTACTGTACAATGCAGTTTTTATCTTTAAATACATTTTCCTTAAACACTTCTCCCTAGAATCATTATTTCATAATAGCTGACTATTATATGTATGATTACTTAAAACAAATCTCCACTGACGTTCTTAGCACTTTTTGGTTTTAGGAAGCATAAGCCTCATTGTTTGAATAGCAAGATTTTAAAATCAGGATTATATGGCATTTGAATTTTTGGGATTTTATACTTAATTAAAATTAATTTTGTTAAGGAGGCCATTATTGTCTAGCCGCGTTACCAACATTTTCCACTGCTTACTGGGCTCAGAGAAGACATTTAGGGGGAAATTAGGGCTAAACAATAGCACAGAACAGAGTCAGGATTAGTGGCTGTAAACAAATTTTAAATGGACCACAGGAAACTTGGCCACACCCATGAGAAGTGGACACTCAGCTAACTAAAATCATGCTGGATCACAGATGTGGCTTGACCAGAGTGTGCCAGACTAGAGAGGTTCATCCTGTATTGTAGTGCTTGTTTTCATAAGATTTTATTTACTATAAAATATCACACTTAAGACTTGGGTGTACAATATACTGGCCCAAAATGCAATGAGATTTATTTAATTCAACTATCCCAATCTTCTCCTACAAAAGACAGCAGAAACTCATTCATGCAGTGTGACCCCAAGATGATCTTCAATCTCTCAGGACATGAGTTCACTCATCACACCAAAGATCACTCTTCTGGCATTTGATTTAATGGGTCTATTTACGACCTGTAAATCGAATGCTGAGGCTCCGGCCACCACCTGTACTCCTTGCAGTTGCAAGGAGTAAGGGAAGCCAACAGGAGCATTTGTTCCCAACGACCTCCCTCTCTGAAGATGGCGCCAAGCTCAGATTGAAGTAAGCCCACTCCAGCTACAAATTTTACATAGCTGGAGTTGAATACCTTAACCCAATTTCCCAGGCCTAGAGAAGACCTGGCCTTAGCATCCTTTCCTCATCCCCATCGAAATCTGTTGGCTGAACAGGGATTGGTTTGCTTTGCATGGAATGATCTTGTAGCAACAGCCTTTGGCCAAGCCACCTTGTCTAAAGAATCAGGATTTTACAGGGTAGAGAGAAACACCATGGCTGCGTCTACACTGGCATGACTTTGCGCAAAAGATGTGCTTTTGTGCAAAAGCATCCATGTCAGTGTAGATGCTCTCTTGCGTAAGAAAGCTCCGATGGCCATTTTAGCCATCGGGCTTTCTTGCGCAAGAAATTAATGTTGCTGGTCTACACTGGCCTCTTGCTCAAGAATACTTGAGCAAGAGGGCTTATCCCTGAGCGGGAGCATCAGACTATTTACACAAGAAGCACTGATTTCGTACATTAGAACGTCAGTGTTCTTGCGCAAATACTCGCGGACAGTGTAGACAGGTGGCAAGATTTTGGGCAAAAGAAGAAAATCTTGCCAATGTAGACACAGCCCATCTGAGATGTAAATTCCTTTCCCTGTCCCTCAAAGAGGTAAATGCTATTAAACATTAATGTTCTCCTGAGCAGTTTTCTGCATTCAGATGGAAGTAGCCAGCTATTAATCCACTTACGGTGTGTCCAGACAGCAGCACTATTTTGGGATACTTCCAGTATCCCGAAACAGCATTCTCTGCATCTTGACAGTGTTCGTTCCCATTATTTCAGAATGGGAACAGTATTCAGATATCCCTGTAAACATTGTTCCAGGAGGATTAAGGAACATTTCAGAATAGCACTCTATTTTGAAATTCTCTGAAAATAAGCTGGACAATTTGCATAGCTCAAATTGCGTAGCTTGTTTCAAGATAAGGGTGCAGTGTAGATAGACCCTTAATGTGTGCTATATTAATTTTATATAATTCTAGTTTTAAATCAAAATATTTTGTGATACTAAGGCAAATACTTTACAGAAGTATCAACACTATTATCAGCACTATTACCTTTATCCACCAAGCTGTAATCCTGTCCAAAAATAACATACTATGTTAGTTTGACAGCACCTATTGCATACAACAGTATGGCTTTTCCAACCCATGGCCAATCACATAATAGCTCAGCATAGTGAAGTCACTAGCCAATGCACAGCCTCAAGTGTGCTGCTCGCATACTAAATATCTCATTAAATAGAAATAAAACATCTTACTTTTTCATGAATATTCAACAAACATGAGTCAACAAAGTAGCGTCAAATACTCACTTCTCATTACACAGTTTAACTGTACACAACCAATACTTGGTGTTCGTGGTTGTAAGTGAATTATCCTTTTCTTGCAAAATTCCTTCTAAGATATGCCCATGAAAACAAATCCCATCTGTATTTTCTTCAGCCCAATTTAACTGGAAACTTGAAGGTTTTTGCTTTTCAGAAACTTGCATTGAACCAGACAGTGAGCCAAACTGTCTTTGTAAGTTCACTACCGTTTCTGTACAAAGAGGAAACAGAACCTAAGCCACAAATGTCACATTTTCCCACAGACTTTACCTTTTTACACAGTACATTAAAATCCTGTTTTAAATAGATAATTTGAATTTGTGTTTTTTCTACCTCTCCATGATATATAAAGAAAACCTGAAATTAATTTCAAATGTAAAAACCAAGAAGAATAAACAAGTTCCAGTATATTCTAAAAACCTCTGTTGTAACTGGAACTATTAGTAAAGTTTTGACCCCATGTGAGTAAAGAGAAATTATAGAGGAAAAAAATCAAACAGACTTTCCCAATATCTTTACAATAAAAATACAGTAAAAAGAAAGCTTAAAAATACAGGTTGCCTTTATACATAATGAAATAGCATAAAAAGGACAAAAGTTCAATTATTGAAAAGTCCATTTCAAGTCCTTGTAATATAAACAATGTATTCTGGTACTCTCATTCTAAATCCCTTTGGCAAACAAAAACTTGAACAGGGAAAAAGACAAAAATATTAGCATTGTACTGCTCACATTGTTGGCTAAAGAAAATTATACTCACGTCTTCTCTTAAGGACTATGTATTTTTCCTTGGCTGAATAAAATAGTGGTTTTTCACATTTCCACAGACACCTATCAATGAAAAAAATACAACTCAGTGGAAAAAAACAACAAAAAACCAGCACAATCATATTCAAACAAACAAGAAAAGACAGTCATTTCTCAGGATTGTTACTATAACTATCCAATATTTTAGGAATAACCTCAAGTTGGCAAGTGCCCATTACCATTACTCCCCAATATACATAAGAGAAGTCTTCCTTCAAACTACTGGAGCAGGGCTAGAAGTGCTCCTCAACAATTTTTCACCTTTTATTGTAATTAATTTTGAAAGCATTAATAATTCAGTCACTGGTCACAGAAAGTTTCCATTTAATTGATATATCAGGCCAAAGTTCTACGTGTGATGGGAGAAAGAGCACAGGGATTTATTAAATTTGCTTTACTCCAAGCTCAAGTGACAAAAATAGGGTGAAATCCTGGCCCCAGTGAAGCCAGCTAGGCCAGAATTTCACCCAAGACTTTCAGCTTCAAAAAGAGAGAGATACTAAGTAACAAACCGGGCTCTTTCTTCATCTAATTTCTTCTGTTCCACATCCAGAGACTTCTTTATAATTGTGTACCATTTTTTGAAATCAAACCATGGGCACTCTAAAATAAAATCCAAAATTCAGTTATAGGAAAAGTGATAGAGCACACAAAATATAGAATGTTAGAAAGGTACCAGCAGTTAGACCCTAAGACTCTTTTTCAACAAGTGTATAAACATGCATATCCTAGACTCTAGATACCCTTAAAAATATGTAAAGCAGCAGACAGTAAAGAAACTTATAGGATAGCATCAGGGATGTGAACAATCCACCATGGTGGGAATGAATTGTATGTCTTCAGCTCAGCACATATAAACACTTTACACTTCAAAAAGATCTCACCAAAATAAGTGATCGGGCAACAAAATGGCAAATAAAATTTAATGGTGATAAATGTAAATTAATGCACATTAGAAAAAATAATCCCAACTATACATACAATATCATGAGGACTAATTTAGCTACAGCTACTCGAGAGAGATCTTGGCGTCACTGTGGATAGTTCTCTGAAAACATCCACTCAGTGTGCAGCAGCAGTGAAAAAAGCAAATGGAATGTTAGGAATCATTAAAAAAAGGGATAGAGAATAAGACAGAGAACTTATTGCCCCTATATGAATCCATGGTACAGCCACATCTTGAATATTGCGTAGAGATGTGGTCGCCTCATCCCAAAAAAGATATATTGGCATTGGAAAAGGTTCAGATAGGGGCACCAAAAATGATTAAGGGTTTGGAACTGGTTCCATGGAAGGATTCCATTTGAAGAGAGATTAAAAATACTTGAACTTTTCATCTTAGAAAAGAGGGGACTATGAGGGCATATGATAGAGGTCTATAAAATCATGACTGGTGTGGAAAAAGTGAATAAGGAAAAGTTATTTACTTATTCCCACAATATAAGAACTAGCAGGGTCACCAAATAAAATTAATAGGCCATAGGTTTAAAACAAACAAAAGGAAGTTTTTCTTCATGCAGTGCACGGTTGACCTGTGGAACTCCTTGCCAGAAGAGGTTGTGAAGACCAGGGCTTTAACAGGGTTCAAGAAAGATATAGATAAGTTCACGGAGGTTAGGTCCATCAACGGCAATTAGCCAAGATGGGTAGGAATGGTTTGTCTGGAAATGGATGACAGGAGAGGGAACATGTGATGATTACCTGTTATTTTCACTCTCTCTGGAGCATCTGGTATTGGCCTCCTCTAGACCTCTGTGGATATGGATGCAGATATCCACGGCTCATTTTGCAGATACCAATAGTTACCTCTCTCTATTTATTCCCACCCTTTGTTTCCTGTGTTTTAACCAGTTATCAGTTCATGAGAGGACCTTCCTTTTTCGCCCATGACAACTTATTTTACTTAAGAGCCTGTGGTGATGGATCTTGTCAAAGGCTTTCTGGAAATCTAAGTATACTATATCCGCTGGATCCCTCTTGTTCACTTGTTTGTTGAGCCCCCTCAAAGAACTCTAGTAGATTAGTAAGGCATGATTTCCCTTTACAGAAACTATATTGACTTTCCCCCAACAAATTATGTTTATCTATATGTCTGACTATTTTATTCTTTACTATACTTTCAACTAATTTGCCCAGTACTGATGTTACACTTACCAGACTGTAATTGTCAGGATCACCTGTAGAGCCCTTTTAAAATATTGGCATCATGTTAGCTATCTTCCAGTCATTAGGTATAGAAGCTGATTTAAAGGATAGTTTGCAAACCACAGTTAATAGTTCTGCAATTTCACATTTGAGTTCTTTCAGAACTCTTGGATGAATGACATCTGGTACCAATGACTTGTTACTGTTCAGCTTAACTATTTGTTCCAAAACCTCCTCTAATGACACCTCAATCTGTAACAATTCCTCAAATTTGTCACCTAAAAAGAATGGCTCAGGATTGGGAATCTTTGTAACATCCTTAGCCATGAAGACTGAAGCAAAGAATCTGTTTAGTTTCTCTGCAATGACTTTATCATCTTTGAGTGCTCCTTTAGCATCTCAATTGTCCAAGGGCCCTACTGGTTGTTTAGCAGGCTTCCTGCTTCTGATGTACTTAAAAAACATTTTGCTATTACTTTTTAAGTTTTTCGTTAGCTGATATTCAAACTCCCTTTTGGCTTTTATTATATTTTTACACTTAATTTGACAGCGTTTATGCTCTTTTCTATTTTCCTAACTAGGATCTGATTTCCACTTTTTAAAAGATGTATTTTTATCTCTCATTGCTTCTTTTACTTGGTTGTTAAGCCCCTGTGGCATTTTTTTGGTTCTCTTACTTACTGTATTTTTTAATTTGGGGTATACATTTAATATGGGCCTCTATTATGGCATCTTGGAAAAGTTTCCATGCAGGTTGCAGAGATTTTACTTTTGCCATTGTACCTTTTAATTTCTGTTTAACCAACCTCCTCATTTTTGTGTGGTTCCCCTTTCTGAAATTAAATGCCACAGTGTTAGGCTGCTGAGGTGTTTTCCCCGTCGCTGCTGAGGTGTTTTTCCCACAGAGGATTTAAGCCCTGGCTTGAGAAAGCCCTGGTTGGGATGATTTAGTTGGGATTGGTCCTGTTTTAAGCAGGGGGGTGGATTTGATGAACTACTAAGGTCTCTTCCAACCCTATGATTCTATGAACTAATTGTTGGACATACAAGATATTGTTTACTCCAAAAAGTAGTGGGGTACATTTCATGAAGAACAAAATACACAAAAACCAAAATTTTTAAGTTATATTCAAAAAATTAAAGTGCAGAAACAACAGAAGCTATTAAAACTTTAAATATTTTTCAGAAAGAGAGAATAAAGTTTGTGTTTTGTCTTAAGTGTAAACTTTTAAAATTTCTATCCAATTTAGGTCAACACTACAAACTAACATTTAAAATTTAGTTAACATAGTTAACACTACAAATGTACATACAGCAATTCCTCATTTAACACTACAGATGTGTTTCTAAAAATGTTCGTGCTAAGCGAAAACGTGCTATGCAGGGTCAATTTTCCCATTAAAAATAATGGAAAAGGTGGGGGTTGGATTTCAGGTGATGGTGGAAGCAAAGTCAATTTTTTGTTGGTGCTCAGTTGTCAATGTTAGACATTTAGCAACACAAGATATCTAGCAACACAAGTTGTCGCAGTTTGTCAAAACACAAAGAAACACGTGAGTGAGCGGAGGAGCGCTGTGACCACGTGTATTCATCCGCTCATATGTATTACCACTGTTTTCACCAACTTATACCACTGGACGAAGTAGTCTGCCACTTGATTATTTTCGTGTTATTTTGGGGGCGGTCCTGTTATTTGAAAAAGTTCCCTAAAAAAAATCGTGCTGTGGCAAAAACGTGTTAAGCAGGCATGTGTTAAATGAGTAATTACTGTACTAATGTAGATCCAACAACTCTGTGCAAATGGGCTTCTAGATTTTTAAATGTACTACAAAGGAGTAATTGATTAAAAAAAGGCAGAAAACTTACAAGGCTCAGTAAGTTCATGCTCTACTTAGTTTTATTATAAAATTTCATTAAAAAATATTATTAGATTCTTTTCACTGACATATTAAGTACCTTCTTTGTTCTTTTGATTTCTTTTTCTAGCAAAGCTTGCATGTAACCTGAAAAAAATTAATACATAAATTTTATTTTATATATCAGGAGGACTGTTTTTTGGAATAATACTTTCCACTGCTGAAACTTTTTTTAGTCGTATTTAAAACAAAACTGCTGACACCAAAAATTCCACCCCTTTTAACTGTAATGCCAACTTTAAAACAATGTAAGTTGCCAATATAAGTCATCTGAGATGTGCACTACTGCTTACTTTTAAACTAAAATTATTAGTTAGCTAAAGTATATTAGCATTATATAATAGATCATGAGGTCTAGCAAGAAATTGACATTGCCTATTATTGAATCTGCCTTCCATTCTTTGGGCCTGAATTAATGGTTTAAAAAAAGTTTTTAGTTCAACAAGTAAAAGTTTGCTCATAAAACATACTTACCATTCATACTGATCATCTAGTAAAAATAGTAATTTGAGCACCACTATAATGAGGGCTGCAGCAAGAACATCATATTTTACTTTCCTTGTTGATTTATTCACAGGATCAAGTGTCAGAAAGTCTGTTTCTCCAACATTGATCTTTTTAACCACTCTACAAGTCCAATTGTGCAATTCATCTAATTAGGAAAAAATAAAGTAAAATATGATTAACTAAGTTGTACAGTCACCCTAAATAGGTCAGCTAGCAATGTACCAGTTTCTAACACCTTATAAATGTACAGATTTAAAAAAAAAATCTTTACTAATATTAAACTAAATTAACCATGAGAACACTCCTATGAGGTAATATATATTTTAAATTGTGCTGGGCTATGAAATAGAGATAATTACACTTCCATTGTGTGAATGAAATAATGATTTTGCTAGCCCACATGGTTATATCCTAGGCATGACAGATCTTAAATACACGTTGTACAAACTTTAACTCATTCAGGATCAGGGTCTAACTTTATGACTTCAAGTAGTCCTGTACATCTAAATAAGACTACACCCAGTAATAAAATTAAAGGTATGAGTAAGTGTTTTCAGAAACAAGGCCTAAAGTGACACAGTTCGAAGTTTACAGTGCTAATCTTAACTACTCTCTTTGTAAAGCACAGAAATCAAAGACATCAATATTATTCAAACACCAGCTTTACTCCATCTGAACAGTCCGATATTACTAGATACTTATTTTCACTAGTACAAAATCTCCAAATCTCTTACCTTTCCAGTTTAGCAAGAAATTTAGCAACTGATTACATCATCAGATTTCAGAAAGAGTAGCAATATTTTTCTGAATTCTGACTAAAGTACATAAATTCGGCTATATTTTCTATTCCCATAGCAGCTAGAAAGGAGTTAAATTAGTACAAGACCTGGTCTTAAACTTTCCAATCTTCACCATTACAGAGAAAACCACTAAAATTCCTGAAAATATTAATGTTACCAATAATAGCACCTCTTATACTAGGAAGTTCCAATATATTTAAACAGTAAATAATATACTTAAAGTTTTTTTTATTAAGACAGTTACAATTAAATGTTAACATACAGTAGCATATATAACTTATTCAAAATCAGATTAATATTCAAAGAAGGTTAAAGCTTCTGGATTCCAGGTTGAAAGGTCTTCCCTCTGAAAAGGTTAGAAATTGAGATGTTTTTAAATATCAGTCCTCTTTTTGGTGATTCACTGGGTACAAAAGTTTTCCCTTAAAACAGGGGTGTCCAAACTTTTTTCAAAGAGGGCCAGATTTGAAGAAGTGAACATGCGTGAGGGCCGTCCCCGCACTCTCAGCCCCAAGGCGGAGGGCCCGCAGGGTCGGAGGCGAGCTGAGAGCGCAGGGCACGCCGGCCTCACAGCGGCCCGGGGGCAGGGCGAACCTGCAGCCGAGCGGGGGAGCGGGGCTGCGGACGTGCCCTACAGGACAGGCTCTAGGACCACGGAGGCCATGGGCAGCGGCGGCGCAGCCGGAAGCGGCGCGCTGGGCGCGCCAGTTCAAAAGAGCGCCGGGGAGCCAGGAGAGGGGGAGGAAGCGGGGGCCGTATTAAATCGGAACACGGGCCGCAATTGGCCCGTGGGCCGGACTTTGGACATGCCTGCCTTAAAAGGACAGGCCATGTTTAATGTATCATAATTCTAAAGGAGGGAGGGTCACACATTTCTAGAACTGTGCACCACAAAATCTAACAGTTAACAAAAAAATTTGTGTGATGTCTCCTCTGCCCCTCCCCTGGGCAGCTGGGATTGAGAGAAAGCCACGCAAGCTTATACTTTCCCCTCACACCCTGATAGGGGAAGAGAAGAGTAGCAAAGTTCTGGGTACATGCAGCTGCAGCCCCCTGTCCTCCCTAAAGGATGCGGGAGTCTAGGGGTTGGGGCAGCCCTGGACTGGGCGAGGGAGTGCATGCAGACACAGCCAGTCCCTTTTACCTGCTTGGCTGCCTACTTCTTAGCAAGGCAGCCTGCAGGACAGCCCCTGGAGCCTGACTGGGAGCAGCTGCAGCTGAGTGCCCCAGCCCACAGATTTTTTTTTACTGGAGCACTGAATTGGGGTGCGCTGGCTTTCACCTCTGGATTTAGGTCCCCAGTGGCTGTGGGCCCGCATGCATGATGGCATGAACATCAGCTCTCATTAAATTAAAAATGAGTACCACACACAGGGCTTTATTCTGCCAAGTGCTCTCCTCCAAACCAGCAAATTACTTGAACACATGCTTAACTTTAATAACGTGAATAGTCCTAAGGACATGGGAGGAATATTAACAAAGTAAGCAGACAGTAATCGCTCTGCAGTGTTGAAACCTGGGTGCTCAGTACCTTACAGGATCAAGCTCATATTACTTATTTTAAATGTTCAGCCAACTTATTAAATTATTTCTGTCACAATTATCTTTGGGGTACCTATCTAAATGTAAAGAGACTTAGAAGGAAGCAGCTAGCACTACCCTAACAGTATGATAGGGTTCATATGTGAATAATTTATCAGTTCCTATGCTAGAGAGCTACAGCAGATTTGTAGACTGCAAAGACCAAGATATAATTAGATGGTATGTTTTAGAGAGTATTTACCAGGTAAGTTAGCTTCCATCAGATATTTTATACACAAGATGTTTGGATGAAGAAAGCAGCTGTTAGTTATAGCTGGAAAACAAGGCAAATCTAAAAATGCTGCAAGTTCATACATCTTCTTATGCACATCTTCATACACAGGCCAAGACTGAAAAACAAAATACAATTTCAAGATATGTTTATTTTACTCCAAGCATCTTTAGCTATTTGTTTTTAATTCAAATTCCACATTAATGTTCCACAGAAATGTTCATGCCCTATCTTTATCACCTCTACAAGCACTGGTATTATGTGGGATGCTCTTTGGAGCTTGAACATGGTTCATGACTAAAACTAAAGCACCGCAAATGAATCATGAAATCTCAAAGACCAGTAAGTGAATCTGTAGCTCTGTAACAACTTCACGCAAAAAAATTCCCATACTAAATCACAGAAATAATCTGCAACTGTCTCTTTTCAAATCTATTAGTCACATGAAGAAAGATAACGCTTTCACTGTAACATTAACTCTAGATCAGAACTCACAATGAACGCAAAAGAATTATTTGAGAAATAAAGAACATGGAGGGCAGGCAAGTTAGGCAATATCTTTTATTGGACCAAGTTTTGTTGGTGAGAGAAAATTTTCAAGCTTACACAGAACTCTTCTTCGGATCTAGAAAACTTATTCAAGGTGTCAAAGTTAACGCAAGGTGAAAAATAGTTTAACAAAAGTAGTTAACTTTTATTTCAAGGGACCAGTTCAAGGTTAAGTGACCCATTACAACTCCGCCAGTCATAGAGAGAAAAGCAAGGAAAGGGAGGGGTACATGGAGAGGGATGACTGTTAAGTGATTTAGAGATTGTTGGACAAGCCATTAATCTAACGTGTCTATTCAGTGTATGATTTTAAGCATCTAGCAAACTTATGAATTTAAGTTCTCGGGCTAATCTTTTGATAGTGTACAGATTTTCTTAAGGGATAAAGGACTGATAGGTCAGACATAAAATGATCACTTTTTTAAAAGTATCAGAGGGGTAGCCGTGTTAGTCTGGATCTGCTTTCGTGAAAAGTGTTGACTCACAGATAGGATATTTTTGTCTTATTTTGTTGAGTGAGTTCATTCAAAAGTGTGGTGATTATGGGTGTAACCAGACATAGTTGCTATTGGAGTATTTAGTGCACTGAATGTGGTACACATGTTGCAATAGGCAGGTGCGTTGAAAGGTGCGTCATAAAGGGTGTTCATCCATGTAATAGTGGAGAGAACGTCTTAAATTTTGCATGTGTCGTTCCAGCAGGGTCTGGTGCCACTTTGAGTTGACATGACCAGGTGTATGGGGAATGAGGGGAATGGAGAAGTTGAGGGATGTTTGAAGGCCAGAAGAGGTGGTTCAGGAATGATTTCTTTCTGGATGGAGGTCTCCATTGAGTATGGGATGTATTTCTTTGATGAAACTCCATAGGGGTTTCAGTGTGGGATGAAAGGTGATAACTAGAGGTGGGTGATTTGAGAGGGTTTTATTTTTCTGTTCAAGCAGATTCTCCCAGGTTCTTGGGTGACCCATTCCACTATATGATCTATTTTTCTTATGGAGAATCCTTGTTTGGTGAAGGTGGTTTTGAATGTTACAATGTATATCATGGACTTCCTCCTTGGAGCATATTCTGTAGATCTGAGCACCTGACTGCAGATAACAGATTTCTTGGTGTATCTGAGGTGGTTATTGTTGCTATGAAGACACATGTGGTGATCAATTGGTTTCTTTTATATAGTTTCTGTAAGGTTCCATTGTTGAAACTGCTCGTGGGTGTCCAGGAAGTTGATGTTGGTGTGGGAGTGTTTCAGAAAGTGTTTAAATGGACAAGTTGTGGTTGATGAAGTTATGGTGAAAAATCTAGGAAGGAGTTTAAAGTCATCTGACGAGTAGATGAAATTACCACTGATATATGTCAATCAGATGCACCACTGGTTTTATGGTGCATTTGTCCAGCAATTCTTAGAATCATAGAATCATAGATACTAAGAATTGCTGGACAAATGCACCATAACACCAGTGGTGCATCTGATTGAGATATATCAGTGATAATTTCATCCACTGGTCAGATAACTTTAAACTCCTTCCTAGATTTTCACTGGTTTTATGGTATATTTGTCCAGCAATTCTTCTTCAATGTAGCCCATAAAGAAGTTTAAGGGGTGTACCTATATTAGTCTGTAATTTTAAAAACGAGTAGTTCTGTGGCACCTTAGAGACTTAACAAAAATATATACAGTTAAAAAAAAGTCATCTGAAATTGTGGGTTTTTCCCAAGAAAGCTCATGATACTATATATATTTTTGTTAGAGTCTCTAAAGTGCCATAAAGAAGCTGGCATTCTGGACAGCCATCCTAGTATGCTTAGCTGTTCTCATGATTTAGGCAAAGTATGTTTTGTTCAATGTAAAATTGTTATAGATGAGGATGAAATAGATGGGTTTGGAAAGGATATCTGAGGATTGTTCACGGTCTTGTAAATCCAGAGGCAGACAGCTATGTCATCATTGGATGGATGTTTGTGTATAGGGAAGTGACTTTCCTGATAGCAAAGATGGTGTTTGGAAGAAGATTGTAAGTATTGTGGAGGAAGTTAGTTGTGTCCTAGAAGAAGCCGGCCCTTTGCGTGATGACTGGTTTGAGGATGGTTTCTATGACTTCAATATTCCTTCAGTAGGAGTGCTCTAGCCAGATAGTATTGTATACATCAGGCCTAGGCAAAATGCGGCCTGACAAGCCACCGGATCCAGCCCGCAGAGGCAGCAGGGAGCCCCAGGCAGGCTCCCCTGCTTGTCCTGCAGCTTCACGCACCGTGCAGAAACATGGCTGCAGGGCTCCGTTTCTGTTTTAAAACTGGAGGGGAAGGGGGAATTTTCAGAACCCACCCCCAGCACAGTCCCGTTGGCCGATTTCTGGCCAGAAACCAGCCAATGGGAGCTGCTTGTTGGAATAACAGGCAGCCAAGAATAACCATGCCCCCTCTCCTTGGCTCAGTTATTCAATGAAGCACATGGCTAGGCAAGCATTCAGGCTGGGAAAAATTTTAAGCTCTGCAGGCAGGCAGGCTAGTTTGGCAGCTAAGTCTCTTGGCCACAGCCTGCTTCTGGCACCACAGCCCTCTCCTGCCCCTGGCCCCCCCTCCACCCTTCTTGCTGCGCCACTGTCTGCCCCCCCACCCAACATACCCAAACCTTCTGTCACCTTCTTACACCCATACTCCCTCCCAGATCTGGCACCCTAATCTCCTGCCCCAGATCACAACACCCTCCTATCCTAGGTCACATCCCAAACCCCTGCACTTCATTTCCCTTCCCTAGGTCACAATCACCTCCTTCACCCAAACTCCTTCCCAGACTCCAGTCTCCCTCTTGCACTCTAATCCTTTAACCCAAACTCCCTGCTGCACCCAACCTCCATCCCAGAGATTTCACCTCCTTAATTAATATAATGGAAGTGTGTGGTTGTCAGCCACTTTCCAAAATCTTGGCCCCCAGTCAAAAATTATTGCCCACTCTTGGTGTATATTATATTATGGTTTTTGTATGTTGGGGCTTGTCTACACTGGCAAATTACTGTGCTGCAATTTTCTCATTCAGGGGTGTGAAAAGACACCTTCCTAAGCACAGCAAGTTACAGCATTGTAAAGCACTAGTATAAACAGGCTCTCAACACTGTTAGCTACTCATCTCATGTAGGTGGTTTACCCAGAGCATTGGGAGTGTTCTCTCCCAGTGCTCTTACCATGATCATACTGCTGCAGTAACTTAAATATGTAGCCAAAGCCTTGGAAAGCATATAGACATTGGTGGAGGAAAATGTAGAGTCTCTCTTGGAAGGCTTGGGGAAAGATTTGATGAGATTCTTAAATTTCTGAGGAAATTGTTATATGGGGTCTTCAAGTTCATTTTAATAGGTAGACTGAATAGTTACATTGGATCCTATTAAAAGCCTCTCCCTTCCCCTTGCCTATGCTACTTAATGTTTCTGGCTCCAATTCAGCAAAGCAATACGGCATGTGCTTATGTTTATTCATATTTAGCAAAGTATTTAATCACATACATCACTTTAGTGTCAATTTTAAGCACACTCTTAATTCAGTGTAGGCTTTACTTCTCTGCTGAATAAGAATAAACTGTTGAACTGGGGCCTCTATTTTTGAAATCTTATAACCCAGGCTAAAAAAAAAGCACAATAATTATGCTATCAACAACTGAAATTCAATCGGTTCTTTTTGTTCCATTATGTGATCTTAACATAGGCGATTCAACTATCATTTATACTTCACAGTTTTCAATGGATTGCTAACAGTATTTCCATTTTTAAAGTTTCACCAAGCCTGCAAAGAGTTAAGAATGTGCTTAATTTTAACCATGTGAATAGCTCTGTTGAGGTCATTTAAATGGTAGAGAAGTAACTTTTATAACTGTTTACGAGTTCTATTCTAGTTCTTTATTTTTCTCAACAGTGATGAAAAGTAATCTACTCACCTAGAAGATGTAGCTTGCAAAACAAGAAATACATGGCGTTACCAGAATACTACAAAAAGGTTTACGCTCCCCTCCAATCATTCTAACAAGCAATCAGATATACATTAGAATAATACTGGAACAAAACAGTCAGGATTTCAAGTTTAAAATTACACATTCTGTGATATCCCACTGATTTTGAAATTTATGCATAAACTTCCCAGTGCCCTGAAGAAAACATACTGGGAAAGTCAACAGATAATGCAATTAAATACAACAGAAAAATAATATAATTAAGTAAGTATAATGGAGACAGAACTTTCCAATGAGAATAAGAAATCCCATGATTTGCCTAAATATTAATCAGGCCCTTGTGTTAAAGACTGAAAGTGAGGTACATAGAAATTCATAGTTTAAATGCATCGTTTTTCAATCACTAACACCACTGTTATTTAAGCATTCACGTCCTTCACAGAAGTTTATCAATAGTGTTTTTTCAATTTTTTCAAACCAAATTCAACATTTAATTATATGATCAGCTGGCAAATATCAGATTTTTAAGTGATATAAAATACTACTCCCTAAAAAATGGTATTTTGTTTGTGGTGGTGTTTTTTCATTGCAAATAATTCAAAAGGATATTAACAATTGAGCACTCTACTGT